AAGGATGAAAGTTCACTTGATCTGATAATTGCTAGTTATCAACTTCTTTTTGAGTTGAATAAGGTACTATTTGGTCATTCTTTTTATGACAGTCTCATTTCTCTAAAATTTAGGTTTAATCAAGCTTATCCTTCATTACAGCGATATCCGTGGGTATACTTGCCTAAGATGGAAAAGTCAGAGTCATCCACACCCTCTAAAGTTCATCACGAACTTATTGTGGCTGAAGAGGTAACTGTTGTATTTCTGATTGGAGCTATCTTCTTTATGTCAATGACTGCTTTTTTGTTTGTTCAAAACACATAATAGCACTCTCTGCTGCATGCCAGGCTTGGTCTCCTTTTGGTTGTATTGAGAGGGATGAAGCTACTGATACCTCAGGTGGATCAATCAACCCCCTTGTAAGTTGTATTGCTATCATGCCTGCATTCTATTATTCATCTCATATGGAATTCTAACCAACTGCTTGAATATCTTCCACTTGGCTTATATCCTCCATTTCGTTATTCTTTAATTGCCAATGGTTGCCCATAATACTTTGATTGGCATGAGTTCTTACCTTCCTATGTTAACAAAGTTCTTTGTTTTGGTTTCAGGCCTTCCATTCTCTGATGCAAGATATTGCTAAAGGAGCTACCGAGGAAAGGCGCAACAAAATAGAAATAAAGGTCAGTTACCGCCCCATGTCATCTTGCAATATCATTGAGCTTTTGTTGCTTGAAAGTTTAGTTTTCACTTACCAAGCTGCATGAAGTGCCAATGTTTAATAGTAGGATTGGAGTTTTTCTTGACATCTAGAACTATATAATCACAATGTGCAAATTCTCATCTGTCGTATCATTTTCTTGCAGTCACTGCAGAACATGTTACTGTTTCAATATCTTGTCAATGTTCTTGAAGGAGATCTTTTCCCTCGAATTCATGCATTTAAAGGTAAAATTGCAGTTGAATTTGTGACATGTGATTAATGTCTATACTTTGTTAATTGGATCATTACCTTTGCTGCAGAAAGTTTAAACTGGATTCTTTTGAGGGAGTGCATCCTTAACAAGATTCTAGTATGCTTTTCTATTCTTTGGTTTCAGTTCTCATAACTGTTCATGTTTTTCTCATTATGTACTATACAATATTCACCCTGTAATTTCTGCTTCCATCATACTGCAGGGGTCCAGGAAACTATCTTACAAGGATTTAATTAAGGACTGCATGTCTCTCATAGGTGATCTTTCTTGTGATAAGACTAAAATCACTCGTGATCAGAGAGGGAAAAGAACTTCTTTGGCAGAGCTACAGAAGGATTGTCATGGCCCTTTAGAGTTAGCTTTACCTGAAGTAGAAAAGAATACATGTCTTACCCTGAAGAAACTTCTGCAGATGGTTAGTTGAGAAGCTCTCCATTTTATGGACATCTTGAATTTGTGCTTTTAGTGATTGTGAAATTTTTGGACCATTCAGATTATGGAGCTAGATTCATCAAGGAACATAGCAGATATGACTGGCCTTATCACCAGGGCAGATGGGGCAAGGTATTTTCCTCTTCTTTATCGATAACACAGTGCATCTATGTCTTAACTTTGACCATTCAGTTAAAAGGTTCTGGCTTTTCGATGTGGTGCAGGATTCCAGCTGCAGAGATCATTTTAAATGAGCTTTCATACAGTAGTGATCTCCTTTTCTCATTTTTTCTGGTGCTCAGCCATAGTCTCTCTTCTCTCTCTCTCTCTCTCTCTCTCTCTCAGACATGCAATGCTCACACACGTATGCATGCATGCTGCATTGCTGGAGAATAACTGAAACCAAAGAAGTAATGAATGCACATACCAACAATGGAAATTGTAGTTGATTAGGTTTTTAAGAAGTGTCCGGCAGATCTTAGTTCAGTAACTTTGCTACCTTTATGTTTGAGGATGCTTGTCTTTGCTGTGCATTTGGGGAAGATTTTGCAGAGTGGGGCAACTGGGGGCCAGAAGGCAATAGATTTCCCTGTTTGGCAGGAGTTGAGAAGAAGGGGATGGGAAAATGAAAGCAGAACATCAGGGGAGGGTCAACCCTTCTCAATGCATTTTCATATTTCTAACTTCTCCATCTCAGAAGCTGTGTTAGATTAGCCTTCAAATGAGAAAATTAGACACAATTGGCAGTAACTCAATGTTCAGTATGAATTGGTAAAACTCTATTTTTTTTTCTGTGATTAGTCAGAATCCTAACAAAGAACTGAAACTTTGGTGAAGGGTTTTAAAACCTCTCCCAGCCCTTTCATCTCTCGCTTCTTTAATTATGATACCCTAGAACTTGTTTGGTGGTGTTTTTTTCTATGTCAGTCTGGCAGGTGGGAACCAAGCTGGTGCTGAATTTGTTTAATTTGGTGCATTCATGATGACAGCTCGTTGATGAACCTGAGTGGAAGCTAAAAACCATTGTGCAGTACTTTCAGAAGTATATTCCAAAGGTAAACTGGATAGTCCAATTCTTTTCTTTAATTCAAAAGCTTTGCATGATGGATGATCTACTAATTGTGTAATGATCAAATTGTGAACTCTTGTTTGTCCAAATTATATCTCCAAAATACCAATGTCCTGTTCCTCGCATTCTTCGACAAACCTACATGACATAGTTGTCCTTTAGATCCTTGACACATTCAATTTGGATATTCCTTCTATTTAAATGGAAAGGGTTATTCTGCCGTTTTACCATGAATGTATTGGTTGTGTACTGTGTTTGATTTGCATTAAAAAATCTGCTGATTAAAGGTTTTCTGTTTGTCTTAGCCTAAAAACTTCATGAAATACTTCCATAACATTTATCTTGTAAAGAATTGTATACAATATCCAGACATGTGGAGCCTTCTCTCTTCTCATAAGTTCACTAGTCATTAGAAGACACATTTTGCTTGTACGATCATTTTTAGCATTTCCAGGGAAATGAAAGGTTGTTTGAGGAATTACTTGCTACCTTCTTTCTAAATGGTCTGCCTGCTTTTCCATATAATTACCTGGACAAACTTTTTTGACTTGCAACTTTTTAGGCTGTAAACTAGACAAGTAGAGAATTCATTTACCTCTCAACCAGTCAAATCAGACACTGATATGTTGTTAATTTCTCTACTTTTTGTTGATTGCAAATTCTGAACTTTCATGTCTCTCTGTATTCGCAATTCTTTGATTATTTCCTGCCTGGAATTGTTGGAATGGTTATTGACTATTAGCATTGCAATATTTTATGTAACAGTCTTCTATCCGAACAAGGCGGTCTAATGGCTCAAGTGCTGATGCAACTTTTGATGGGATATTGAAATGCTTTTCAAATGAAAACAGCGCAAAAGGAATCATTAAGAAAATGAGGCCAGACGTCACTCAATTGCTTTTAGCGCATGGCTTTCAGGTGAACAATAAAATTGTTGTAGATGTCATGCTTAATTTCCAGATTGCATATACGGGGATTGCGGTGTTGTAGCTCTAGAAATGGATAGAAGTAGGTTTGATAGAAATCCTAAAATCAAGCTTAGGTTTGACAGAGTTTTAACTTTACCCCTGGCATCCCCCCTTCCCTGGGGCCCAAACAAAACCGGACATAAGGAAAGCGTAGAAAATATATGAAGACAATGATATGAAATGAAAGCAAGCTGCAATTAGGGCAAAGAGTGATTATGCAATAATCAAAGAGTAAATCTTATATATACTGACAGTGTATACACTATCACCGTTTAATTCATGACATGTGTACAAAAGTTGAATATCAAATTCAAATTTTGCATAGTTGTCATTCATTCAACGTTGACAGTGTATACACTGTCAGTGTAGGAAAGATTAATTCATAATCAAAATACTATGTTTTGCCTTACTCTATGTTTGGCATTTCTTTTCAGGCTTTCTTGTCCTTGTCCTCGAAACATTCAGTTGAAGATGCCTCTGATAGCAAGCAGGATGTCAGAGGCAGCTCTATTATGGAAATATGTGAGAATGTAGTGTCTGCTTTTGCTTGTTTCAGAAAGGAAGACAAGTAAGATGTTCTTAATTGATGTGATTTTCACATTTGCGCTGTCTTTGAATTTCCCTGATAATTGAAACAGTTTAGCTCAGGAAAGTGTACGTGTCTATATATATATATATATATATATATATATATATGTATATATTTGGTAGGTGACTTAAGACGTCCTTCTCTTGTTCTGGTAGTTTATTTTTTATTGGAATTTAGATAACTTTTCAATCCAAATTATTGCAACAAAGGATAAGTTCACTAGTTTATCAAACTGCTGAGGTGCAAGGCACTCTGTAATGCTCCAGAGTTTAAAAATGAGGACAAAGAGTGTTTGGTCACTGCACGCAATTATTAGGCATAATAGTTTAGAGTTTTGGCATTCATTCGTAGCGTGGTGCATAAGTAATAGAGATTGCAGTAGTCATGTTTTCTACAATTTTGAGTTACATGAGCCGTACAAGTGCATTTCTATCCTGAAGATTGTTGATTATGTTACCTGATGACATTCCAATCATAGTTGTTTAACCTTATTTAGAATATTGGAAAATTGTAAATAAAAAAAAAAAGGATGCTGTAAGATCATGTAAAGAGAAGTGAATACAAATTTTGATAAGCGTTTTTATTGTTGTCAATTGACATATCTTCTGCAGGCAGTTTACCTTTTCGACTTTCAGTAGAGAAGCACTATTCACGGCCGCAAGTGTACTGTCAACAGGAGCCCGTTCATGAATTATTGTTTGTACATCAAAAGTCTCAAATTTGCTGGCCAACACTACAGATATAGGAATATGTTTTGTAAGGATATGTCAATGTCAAAAGTGGTTTGAATCATAATTATATGAGCTTTTTGTTTCGCTGAAAAATGGTTTGAATCATAATAGTTGGTGATTATGATTAAAGTTTCTCTGTGATGCCTTCTCAAAAACCCTTTTTTTACAATATTACATCATGTCAACAGGAAGTTATTGAGCTGCATTTGCAAAACAATTACATCATATTAAGTTATGGCACTAAAATGATTGTCAAAATTCAACATCACATCATGTTAACGAGTTATAGTGCTACAATGATTGACAAAGAAGGAAGTCTTCTTCCATATCATTCAGTTTCTTGTCAACCACATACATGGGGTATATGACATTGTTTCACTGTCCATTATGTTACTTGAACCATCGAAGGCCTTATGCTTGAAGTCAAGTTCAGCTAATTGCAAGGTTAAAATGAAGTTTAACATGCAGTTGCACCATTTTAAAATCCCCTCAGGCTTCTTGATTCTCTCTTGTGTGTCCTCGAGCCAATGGCATGGAAGCATGGTTTGTGTATAGGATATACTAATGAAGAATGGGCGGAAAAAGCACTGATCTCCAAAGGCCTCAGTTTACTGATGTACTTCAAGCATGCCGACAAAATGAATTTCCTCCAGTATAAGAACTTAAGAGCCATTGGCATACCAATTTTACTGTAGGGAACATAACATCTCAGAATCCTTTGTTACAAGTAAAACAATGCAGTCCTCCTAGAGAAAAGGAGGACAACTGACGAGCATAATGTACTTTCACAAACCAAATGTCCGGCATCTCCATGTCTTCGTCTGCTCAGACAAAACATGTCAACGCATGCCTTATCCTCGACCATCCCCTAATCATCCATGCTATGAATCCACAGTAGCCACCATATCCCCATCCTGAAGCCATTGCCCAACAAGGCTAGCCTTGTTATGATGCTTCCACTGTGTCATTTGTATTCCTGAAACGACCAAATAAGTTGGTTTAAACTCACAGCAAAATTAAGATTTGCTGGTAATGCCAAAGCATTGATGGCATGCACAAACCTTGATGCTTGTACCGAATCAAGTTGCATTGTCACTGGACCATCGTTAACCAAATTGACCTTCACCGACATAGAAACATGTCAGAATTGTGTTCTCACACTAAAAAATGTAAAGGTAAGAACTCAAAATACAGAGTTACGGAGTCCTGCCTTCATCATGGCTCCGAAAATGCCATCTGCAGAGGGCAGGAAAAATTTTGAGAGGTCAAGAAATAAAAATATTTGAGGACAGCAAACTCAAAGATAGACAATGCAGGTTAATTATTCTCCACTTTAGGATAGTGGAAAGATAGCAACAGGATTAAGTATTAACAGCATATCAGCAAGTTGGAAGATACAGAGTCCAACTAGTCTCAAGCACAAATAAGCAAACATATGTCCTCAAAAGTTTTAACAGGCCACTATTCTAGTAACTAGAATAGGAAAACGGCACTGAAAATTATAAGTCTGAGGCACACAACCTTGAAGACTAAAGAAAACCATTCAAGAGTAAGTGTTGAAACGCCATTAAACAGCAGCTGTAACAAGAAAAAAATTGTTGTCCTAACAAAGTGGATCAAACTTCATTAAACAGGGTAAGAAGTTCCAACCATCAACTATCAGAGTTGAAGAATGTTGGTTATCATTTTACACTTGCAACTGCCATAATGATATTTCTCACTTCCTGAGGTACCACTATTCATGAACAATTTCAGTGACAGGCATTATTTTCTATAGGAGGTGAATTAAAAGACTAGTCTCTTCATCACGGTTTTGCATTTCCTTCATATGTGGCAATCATTATTAGAGAACTGAATCCACTATAAAACCATACATAACATGAGAACGTAAAAAAGAATATACCAATAAAAGAAAAAAAAATACCAGCAAGACATATTCTGAAACAGTTAACCATGAAGTCCTAATAAACTTTCTTATGAACATTAATTCAGATTTTCATATGCAGTTGCGACAAATACATTATGATTTTAGTCAATCTTCTATTACCCAATTGGCTTTTCATTTTGAAGAATTGAAATAATACATATAAGAACACTTAAATGATTGCAAAAAGGCAAACAAACACTTCCAGCTTATCCAAAATCAAAGCTATGCCATTACAGTAGGGTCCAAAGAACATGGAAGCTTCCTAGAAACAAGCAGGCTTGGGTGCAGATTGAGGCTAATAACCATAGTTTAAATAGATGATTTGTTAATTTTTAGAAGAAAGTTTTCCATTCTATCCGTGTGACTAGTAATCAATCTTTAGATATGCAGCACAGATCAGCTAAATTATGCAATCATGATATCTTATGCAGTAATTCAGAAGTAAATTTTGTAAGGAAAGTTTTAGTACGAAATCTAAAACTAGGGGTGTAGAGCTTCCTAGCACTATTTCTTGAAATTAAGACTTACTGGTGGTAAGAAAGTTTATCAGCCTTAACGTTAACAATCATTGGACTAATCATCAATTCTGCCTTATGTAACCAGAGGCATATCCACTACCAACTCTAACATAAATCAGAAGAAATGATAAGCAAAGGAAATAAGTAGACAGCCAAAATAGGGCTTACCTTTTATAACATCAGGTGTGTAAGCTTTTCGAAATTTTTCAACCACAGATTCATAGAACGGCCTTGCCTTCTCAGGAGGCATGGCCACATGAAAATCAGGTTTGTTTCCCTTTAAAATCCCATACAATGTAAACTGGCTCACTGTACCAGCAAACCAGCATCAGAAGCAATACAAGTACAATTTATTAAGACGTAGTGCTCTTCCACAGTATCTTCAAAGAACAAAGATAAAGTATCATCAATTGACAACAAGAAAGGTGAAAGTAAAGCACCTACCCAATAAAACTTCCAAATTCTTTTGCATGACCTGCAAATGAAAAAAATCCCACGAACATTATTAGGAAAGCAATAGATAACAGATCATTTTTACCTTACCATTTAAATCATGTAGCATTTTCAAATCCTCTAAATTGGTACTTTATCTTCCTTGTGTCTATGGCAATTCCAACATCCCATGAAATTTTTGTTGTACAATTAGTTTAAACTCAATAACTCATTTTGACTTCCTTTCTACTTTCAATCAAACATGGCTTGATGCTGTCAGCGGATAAGATTAATATTAATAGCCTAGCAATATAAATCCACCATGGCAATTTCTACTTCTGCTATCGAAGTTTGTAAAACTTTTAAACACAGTAATTCAATACAATTCAACTTATAAGGCACTAGTTAACTTGAACTGAATTCATACGATCAAACTATATACGCACCTAGAACCTTTAAGTGCAACTTTGGCGAGGAAAATCAAAATAATGCAGGCAATAAAAGTAATTACTGATATCATGATATAAAATTACATAAATTGCTTGCAAGATGCAAAGGCTAAATTTTGTACAACATCTAAAAATACCTTAATATTACACCATAATTTAAAATGTCAAGATATTATATAATCCTAAATTAATAACATAATGTAATAAATAATCATAACCCTGCTCAAAGAGGGGAAAAAAGTTAATCATAACCCTATGAATCTTTCAGAACCAAAACACATTACTATGTTTGAGGGAGTTCATCAGAAAATTACATTTTGATCCCATGTCTTTCCAGTTTTCTCATTTGGAAATAGTCTCATGTTCAACACTTTCCGACATCTGCGGCACCAATAAATAAGTAAATAAATAAAACAATACACCAATTAAGCAAATAGATACCAATAAAAATCATATCCTTCAGAAAAAAAAACAAATAAAAAAACAGTTATGTACATGTACTCAGCATCAGAGTCCGCGTCGGATTCATGAAGGCCAACCAGAACAAGCAGGCCCGGCCCGATTGCCGAAACAATACGCCCCTCAACCTGCTCATTGCAGCTGAATTTACGTTGCAAAAAACTTAAGAAAGAAATAAGAAAGCTGGAAGGAAATTCTTCTGTGTTCTCGTGTGCGAAATTACGTTGCTAACCTCGACGCTGGCGGAGGCAACGCGCTGAACCACCGCTCTCATTGCTGTGATTTCGAGAATCCGGCGTTTCCTGGGTGCGGAGAAGCAGTAGGGTCGGTGGCGGCGCAATTTAGCCGCCACAGTGCAGGTGGCTAATATGTGGGAGAAATTAGGGGGTTGTTTGGTTTTTACTAAATTCATTTTTCCGGTTTTGGAATGGGGTTTTAGGAAAAGCGGCCCAAACCAAAGCCATTAGAGATGCCGTTCCAGGGAATAAAATTGATCAAGGGACACTACTATCTTTCATTATTCTATCCATATTTTGTTACTTGGAGTTAAGTGAATAATTAATAACTAAGCCTTCTATGCCAACTTTTACCTTCATCAACTTAATGAGGGACAGTTTCTGTTTTGGCCCCCTTTCTATAGGTCTATCCCAATTTGGTCCCCTCATTTTATGAACTTAGCTGATTTGGTCCCTTACTTAAATTAATGGAAAAATCTTGACTAAACCATCTTCTTATAAGCATTCCCTTAATAAAACATGTCCAATTTTTGTTAAAATCTCATGAAAGAACCAAAAAGATCGTGTCCGAACCAGATCGAAACTAAATGTCGAGAACTCGAAACTAACAGCAGAACACAGAACTAATAACTCAATTTCGACGTTCGATTCAATTGAGAATTTTAAAGAAATAAATTAAGTACAGAACCGTATTTTTTTTCCTACCTTCTTGTCAACCAAAGCCCCCCTCCCTATATATACAGTCTTATCAGATAAATAATGAGAAGCTAGGGTCTATCTCCTGACTTCATGATAAGTGCTTTACCAGACAACTAAAGGTTTGTAATTATTCCTCAATCTGTTCAGAAAGTAGACCTGTTTGGCATGACACGTGTCCCCAATAAAATCTCTGCCTCTGCATCTCACGAAGGTGATTTAGAGTTGGTTATAGACGAAAGTATTTGCGATGTCATAGGAGCATGAATCAAGATGGTAGAAGTGTCCACATTTTGGTCTTTGGATGGCAATTGGTAACGATAATTAGCTTGCCACAAACTAAACCATTTTGGATGTCAGTCCTCTAAAACTAGTTTCCTTTAAAGAAAATTTCTAAAAATGAGCCTCCTGGCACTGCTTACAGCGAAAATCTATGGATGCAAGACGTCAGAGCAATGAATGGCAAGACACTAAACAAATAGAAGAGAGTGGTAGAAGAAAAAGAATACCTTAAAATTTTGGGAAAAAAAAACATATAAAGAATATGTAGGAGGGAAAAAAGAATAAAAAAAAAAAATCAAGAATCACATATGCATACTGCAGTCTCTTCTTTTCTCCCCGTGTCTTGGTCCCTTCTTCACACCAATTGAGCCCATTTTGTCCATAGCTGCAGCAAATGCTAGGAAGAATTTCTGCTTGTCTTTCGCTAGGGCTTGAACCAAAGGCTTAGTTCTTGGATCCAAAGACAGGGCTTGATCAGAGGCTAGAAGGCCTAATTTAGATTCAATATTTCCATAATAAGCGTTATCAAATGAGAATGGGGTAGTAACATCAAAAGGTGCTACAATATCAGTATTGCCTCCAAATTGTGGGCATGACATCTTTAAGGCCTTCAGGAGTCTGGGATCAATGGCAGGGTCTGGCTGCTTTGTACCCTTATAGTTATATAGCCTGTCCACAAAGTGCTTGCAATGTGAAAAACCAATTGTATGTGCACCTGAGAGGACAACTAGGTCTTCCAGTGTTAGCCCTTTTGAGCTGAAGAGTCTTAGAAGCTCATTCACAGTTGAATTGGAGTGAGGAATGTTGGAAGGAACCCTTGAGGCCATTGAAAATTTTCCATCCCACCTTCCTTTCTTCACTTGATAATACGGTCCTCCTGTCTATAAGATCACATGCACCCGCTAAGGAAATCATGCTAGCTACTACATACATGAAGAATCAGCTATGAATGACATGCATGATCAAACTGATACATATACATTTTTTTTTTCAATTGACACAACTTTATATATACAATCGGAGTATGCAGGTTTATGAAGTAGGCCAATTTAAACAACTTTTATCCAACATAATTCTTGAAATTTAGCCTTCAGAGAATCTTGTATGGAAAATGACGATGGGATGATTATATTCGCATGAAATGATGCAAACTCTTAGATTTAGCTTTTGGAGTGTCCAAATTTAATCAGGACAAATGGCGAGGTTGGGAAAATGAACTCTTGTTTTACTTGCCTAAAGGCCAAAATTTGCACAGCTGTAGAACAATGAAAACGTCAAAAAGTTAGCACAGCTTTTGGATTCTTCCTAGCTACTTGTAGCCTTGTAGAGAATCAACCCTTTTTCTTTCCTTAATTTTGCTTAAGAAAGACAAAGTCCCTAATCTGATTAGATCTTTCACAAAAGAATCAAACAACATTCAAAAAACTCTGACTAAATCGGTAGAGTTTGTCATTAGGCCAAGGATTATCTTGCTTTTTGTTGGATGACAAATCTGTCGTGTGAGTCAGATATTGGCGACAAATACTGCAGAAACTGCAGAAACATAAACAATGAGGGCATCAGCATATTCAAGAATTTCATAATACTCGATGATTATTTGACTGTCAAATGTGACAAATTAATACTTTCTTTACAGGGGTTCAGCTTTTCCTCTCTCTCCTTTCTACACCAAAAATGAAAAGCTCTAGTCGCTTCTTATTGAATATGCTGGCGTGACTTGGAGAAGATCATGAACAGCACGACGACCATAATATACATGATTATTAAAAGCCACTAACATGATTGAAAAGGAAATGATATTGACCCTTTACACATGGGTATTGGGTGATAACATGTAACTTACAAGGTGGACAAAATCTCTGGCTGCAATTGCTAGAATGTCTGCACAGGATACAACTCCAGGACATTTACTCTCCACCAGTGCCTTGGCCTTGTTTATGCTTTCAAATGCCTCCACAGCAAGTTCCTTGTTATCCAACGCATCCCTTTCAGCTAAATCTTTGCTTCCTTGTCTAGTCGATATCAATATTGATGCATCACACCCCTACAATGTTATTAGCACATGCAAAATTTCGAGAAGTGACAAATTCAATAACGTAAAAGCTAATAACCTAATGCTAATTTGAATTTATAACACAGAAAAGACATAACCATGAATTAAGTTTTATTACCATGCAACAATTTGAGAAGTGATAAAAAGTAATTACTTGATGCTAATTTATAATTTATCACAGAAAAGATATTACCATGAGTTGAGATTAATTAAGTAGACTACTCAATCATTAATGTACATGGGGAGGTTGGCGTATTGTTGCAAGCTGTGGAATTGATGCTGTATATAATGTGGTCCATAATTGTTTGTAAAAAAAAAAAATTCTAGTACGGAAAAGAAATGCACCGGCCACATTTTCTAGCTAGCCTGCGGGTCTGAAGAAATGCATGCACTCGTTTGCAAAATGCTACAAGTCATAGACAAGAAAATCAAGATTACTTCAACAAAGCAGTCATGGAAGAAGAGGCGGACGGTGGCCGGAGCGGATACCGGGGCTTCTCTAAACTGCTCAGAGGTGACGGACGCCACAATCTGGTCAACCTGAGGGCAGGATTTGGCATAGAAGTTGACTGAGAGTTCGCGTGGAATGCGGCCTCGGGTGACATTGACCAAGCAGTCTGAAGAGGGTAATAAGGCCAGGAAAGAAAGCAGAAAAAACTCAAAAAAGAGAGCAGCAGAGAACAATGGATAACAAGAGAAAGACATAATGGCTCAACTCTCAAGTTAGTTTTGTGGGAGAGCACCACCGCTTTTGGACAAAATAGCAAACAAGAATGGCTACTACTTGTACAGGAGAATGGTGATGAAAGTGAGAAGTGGACGACTGTCTATTGGTGTCTAATTAATGCATAGCCATGTTCAAGAAGGGAGAATCAAAACCCGTGATGCCCACAAAATTATTAATTCTGTTTCACGGATACACAGGGAGCAGATTTAAAGTGAGAATGTACTTTCCACATTGATGGAGGTGACAAAGGAAAATGTAATGGTACCATGACAAAAGTGCAATTTTACAAGTTCATAAAGTCGTTTTTACCATTTTTCAGAAACTTCCTTATGTTGAATTTTCATCCAACCATCTTGTCCAAACGTTTCTTCAAAGGGAAGTTGGATACCATGATGAAAAAGTTCAACTATCTAACAGTCCTCGAGTGAATTACTGTTAAATTCACGAGAGATTTATTTGCCACTACTTAAGTGGCCTGCCTGATTACTTGAGCTTTATTTGTAAGCATGACGATTAGGCCGTTTCTTCTTTTTGTACTCAGTCTAAAACAACTGATTCGCATGTAGCATCTTTCACGGGCTTGCTGAATTATTAAACTTAATCCAGTTATATATTAAACTTCTTCTACCCCAGATCATTAGAGTTTTTCTTTATCCCCCTAAACTTGTCAATATTAAAACTGAACATGGTCCTGAAGAAATTGCATACATGATGGTGATGTTTATTGGTGGAAAGGAGTGCGAGTTACTCAGTTCATAGCCTGATAAGATAGAGCCCTATTGAGATATTGGAACTTAATTAACATTCAAAGACAAGGATACATATCAATTAGACAGACTTCTTGGTCAGCAGCATTTGTGTGGTACGTGCGTTCCTCTTCCAGTTCTTTGCCTCATAATCTATACTATTTCTCCACATATTAAGTAAGATATACTAGAAATAAGTGCTCCGGCATCCAATTATATGCATGGTCGGGGTAAAACAAGAACCAAACTGCTGGTATTTTAACACTCATAACAGATGGAATGTGGCCGGTGCCCCCACTTCGCATGTGCTGATGTGCAAAGTGCAATAAGGGGGATCACTGGAAACCTGTTGTTCATACAGCCAATTGTTTTAGCTTGAAGATTTGGTGCCTTTGTTCGTTGTTATGTTGCTTTCATTGAGACTGACTTGCAACAGTCTACTCTCTCATTCATCATGCAATTGCCTTTTCCAACTTCATTGAATCATTGTACTCATTAAGTGGATTGACGACTTTTTTGTGAGCTCAGTAAAAGCTGTGGATGGACCATCTGATTCTGCTCCATGTCCATGCCGTACCTGTACTCTTGCATTCCCCAGCTTTTATTTTTGCACATCCATATCTGTCTAAACCTGAAGAAAGAGGACTGAAGACATGAACTGACTGACGCTTCAAAATGCTTGTACTAAATGAAGGATGCGTTTAGTGATTTACACTGATCTCCTTTATTGGTGCAATCGGTTCAAA